CGAAAAAAAAACTTTAGATTGAATTCGTCAGAATACTCATAAGAAATGGGTAGCTCTTAGCCTTGGTCATTACCTGGTTTCTATGAATACTAAGAAGAATAGATTACAGTTTTTGGAATAGTCTAGTTATTCTACGCCTCACAGAGAATCAAAATGCCTCCCGTGCTCAGCTTGATCGAAGAGCACCAGAAATGGTTTATTAGAAGTCTCCCGTTTCCGTCAGCTAATTAGTCCTCTGAGACCGCACTTCTATCGCTGTCACCGCAAGAAAGGTAGTGCTTTTCAAATCACTATCACACGCGGATGTTTAGAATACCATCCCAAAGCTTCTGGTACAAATCTGGATGTCACACAGTTAACTTTCGACTAAATAAACCTGGCTGCATTTCTGCACACCACTGTGCATGTTGAACTCCCGAAGTTGCCTTCCAGTGGCTAGACGAATATGCCGGATTTTCTCCTTCCCTCTGCTCACACGTTGCAAACTGTGTTCTAAAGCGGGTAGTATCACATTTCTAGTGGTGTCAGCTGGTAACTGTATCCCGTCTATTTGATTTCTGACTTAAAATAAATGGCACGTTAACCATGAACTATGCGTCCCTGCCTTCGTTAGTGGGTTCTTATCGGAAACAAAGCTTCGAGAGGAAGTGCTGGCTGTTGCGCTATACGCTATACGTGAAATTCATCTTCATGGCACTTTTGAAAGGACCGATACCTGTTTAGGTGAACGTTGTTCGCCATTGTTTTATTACAAACTGATGTTTCACGCTCCCTGGCAAGGAGATATTAGCCCAGTAAAAACAGTGTCATACACTTTTACCATTCCGTCAAGCAACTTATCACAGAATAACAGAAAATTACAGGATTTCCACTCTGAACAGTACGACCCTCAACCGTGTTTCACACTTGATGGTCTTCTACTATTTCGTTTAGGCATTTTGACTGACCATAAGAGTTCAATGTACGCAGATCAGAGTACGCACGCACACGGTGTTACATACCTGGTCACTCTGTAAGAGCGTCAGCTTGACCATACACGAAAAAGTTGATGGACATACGAATGGTCTAATTTTTGGACCCGGTTGTCGGCAGAACTGTGTGTGATTGTAAGTTTCAAAGGTGTTATTAGACCAGTTCTGACGAACGTCAATCGAAGAATTTCGCTTTCTTCATTGGTGAGTTAGTTAACTATCTTTCGTAAATGCTTTTCATCATGAAGCTGCAATTTACAAAGGGTGAATAGTACGACATACTTTAGGTCTGAAAGAAATTCGACATTCTGGTAATAAACTTTGACACTGCCATAAGGTTCACAATTTACAAGAATTAGTGTATATTTTCTAGTACTCCTATTGTAAATACCCCAACAAAATTCGAAGGACCTTTTAAAGTCTGCGGTTTAGAACAGAAACCTCCAGTCGAGGACAGTTTGAGCACTCAATGACTGAGTGTGGCAGCCGTGTCCCAGTCAAGCCTGAGAGCATGTAAACAGAATCCTCATGAGCGCTTGAGTATTGGTCAGTATTCACAGAAATGCAGCTGCAGTGTCCGTATTCTCCTAAAAGATGTTTTGCATGTAAACAATACTATGCCTAACAATCAGTTTCTTGACAGTGAACAGGTTAACCCGGCAGGGAGATACGAAAAGGCTGTGAACTTACCACAAGCGCTTACCGATAACTGCTTTAGGCCCACAGCCTGGGCTGTCCAAAAGGAGGAATCCTCAAAGTAGCCTCAACTCTCTGATAAAAAGGGTTGTCTTTTTCCATGAGTGTATAAAAAACATGACTGAACCGTTCTAGGCGCATGTTAAATTATCCTGCATCGGAGCAGTTGGAAAACAAACCTAGAATATGAATCTTGGGAGCGTACGGTTAGGCTTTTCTTTTTTGTTGTCGTGGTACATTCACATGCATTCATTTGTTGAAAAAATTGTGACAAAAATACACCATCAAAACGAAAAGTCAATCTATAATTACACCCAATCCCAACCCATAATTTCCAACACATTTGATTTTACTTTATGCAAGAAAAATGCTTTCTCTGCCTCCTGAAGCTGTACTAACATATCGTACCGGTAGTAAGTGCACGAGTGCATGCTGTAAAAGAGAAGTCAGATATGCAATTTATTGCTGAGTACGGGAAAGATCTGATGGTAGCTTTTTATATATGATCCAGAGGGCGTTTGTTTTTCCTTTTGGAAAGAAATTCAGGCCGTCGAACTGTGGCATCTCCCAGCATCGTAGTGAACGGACAGAAAATTGCACGACTGCAGATGAGAAACAGGAAAACATTTTCGGGGAAGTTTTCTAAAACTCGCAATGTCCCGAAAAGTTTCAAAATTTCTGACGACGACAATTTTGGTGTTTGACTACATTTTACAAAGTCAAGTGGGGGGATTCGTTCTGAATTTATTGTCCACCATCACAGTCATGCTGTTAAGGACGTGTGCGTTCACTGTTACTCCAAAACGTGTTATCTTAAAGTCTCTCATAAACCACCGTGATTGAAAGTACAATTTGAACGTCATACAAACTCAACAAAAGATTATGGTTACTCCAAAAATTCCAACCATCGAATTTTGTGGAACCCTAATGTTACAATGTCCTCTCTGTAGTAGCTGCTTCGGTGTGTCAGAGCGTTTGCGCGTGTGCGTGTCCGTTCGTCGTTCCACCATCGATCTGACATGTGACTTGAGTGGCTGATTGGATGTGTGTCCGATTGGTTGGCTCGCGTGAGCGCTGTGGGTTGACTGGATATGTGACTCAGTTGTTTTGCTTGTCTACCACGAAAGCGGACCACTTGGCCGCGTGTACCCAATACACCCGTGTCCGTACTTACGCGTTCTTCTGACTTACTGTGAACTACAATCCTCTCCCACATCTGACATCATTTGTATCCGCTATTTAGTTCAAATTTAAGTTATTTTCGAATTCATCTACCACGTCCCACTATGTGCTGGTTCTAGTCAGCATACTCCTTGTGTCTGTTTACCTTTGGGTAAGTAAAAAGATGAAGAATAATGGTTGGTCATGGCATTGATTCATTTGTTCGTTGTAGATAATTTGTTGCGGGTAAGTCAATTGCCAGCTAGTTAATCACGAAACAGTTCATCGCCAGTTTGGTGATTACAATTCAGTTTAACTTTTGATACTTCAGCACTTGAGTACCGTATCAATTGATTTATCATGACCAGTATACTCAAACTGACACAAAAGTTACACCAACTTGGCTTTTTGATTTCATCTTTCATCGTAACTGCAATGAAAATGGTAACAGTGCTCTTTGTCTTTTAGGTACAGAAAGACTTCATTTACAGGACAAAAACACCCAATAGAAAATTTCCAAAGCTCCCCGGCAAAATAGTCATACCAGCGATTTTAACCATACCGGATAAACTAATTCATGGGCGAACAGTCTAACATGTATAATTGAATTCCAAGAATGTATGCACCTTGTAAATACAGGAAGTACCTATAAACCCAGCAGCAACCTGAGACGGCAGACTGCACTACCACGGCTCTTCATAAGTTACCTTATTCCGGTATAAAGCCGAGTTAAGAACCCTGCCAGAATGTCATTAATTGTCTCGATAGTCGATTATATGTTTTTATTTCTTGAAGACCATCAGGTAGGCATTATCCCCGGTTTTTGTCATCTTCATGCTCTGTCTGAGCGCCACACTGTACACAATCGAATAAATACACTCAGTTTGAATCTACCTTGGTGATACTGTGAGATTTCGAATATCGTGACCTCTGAAACATAATAAGGCTGCCTTTGTGTAGAACATTCAGTTGAAACATTTCATGAACAGGAAATTCAGTTGAGTATCTCAATAAGACCAAAGAATACATTTCTCTAATATTGTCGGCCAGTTTGTGATGCCAGCTATCGAGGCGTAGAAAATATCTCGCCTGATTGCCGTTAGTCCACATCCGAAGTTTTGAATTACGTCGTCGGTATTTCCGTCAGATATTAAACCACACTTGTTAGATTACCCAGTGGTAACAACTTTTGACTTCCAGTGTGTCAGTGTGTAAGACATGCATGCGGTCTTAACACGACTTTCATTCTTTAACGCAAGGATCATGTTTATTGGCCAACGATGATTCAAATGTCTGCTTTTACGCAATCTCCACGGCTCAGTAGCTTTTGAGACTTTTTACCGTCTAACTGAACATATGTAACTACTTGTATCCCCTCTGAACTGGTCTCAAAGCACTGAGGTCTTTAGCTGGATCTCTACTGTGTTACTCCAGAAAGCCTTAGGTAGACAGGTTACACACAGAGTAGAAATTAATCATGTGAATTCAGGGGAATAACACATTTGGACTCATTTTTAACACTGTCAATGCACAGGGTGTCGCTAATATAAAACCTACTAAAAAAATTGGGAGAAGCTGCACTTGGATAAACGGAGAGGAGACAAGTTATCACAGTAAAAACTTTGATCATCTTTAAAATTAATCGAACTTACAGAAAAATAGCCGAATGTCTCGGGTTATTTTGGTTTATTTTGCTAATTCACTCGACAGCGGTAATCTAACCGACCCGCGTTTATTAGTCAAATCACTAAACTGGTCCGACTGTAATTTGTCTTGGTGACAGATTGTTGAACAAACTACTTTCTTGCAAATATCAACAGAACATTGAAATCATCCGTGACCAGCTAATGTAGGATTACAAACTGCCCAAAAATACAGTCGATTTGTAACGGAGCTTATTCAGTTCTATCCAGCTTCTCGACCGGAGACGACTCAAAGGTCTTTCAAAGGTGAGATATTTTGGCTATTGATGTTGAAAGCCTCTATCTCCCAGATTTCTTCAAGTCTTCTTTTTATTCTTACTTATAAAGTGAATTGCACGAACATATTACGATGATTAACTTGGCAAAGCAAACATATCTAGTTAGGCGAATTTCGCTAGATATACTTTCCTAGTCCTTGAATATGTATGGCGAACCTGTTATTTCTTCCTCATTTCTGTCATTAACTCAGGTTACTCTATGGCTGCACATTGAACGCAGGGCCTTATTCTACGGCTATACAGTAATCGCACCCAGCGTTCTCTTATGTATACTGACAATATGCAGTTTTTGCCTGCCCTGTGGAAACGCCAAAAAAGTGGAGATCGGACTGACCGTGTTTCTGTTTCTCTATTTCCTCCAAGTAAGAACACAGATCAAAAGTTTTGTTTTGGATTGGCACACGTTTGATACTGTCAACTTACCTTTGCTTCCTAGAGATTTCCGCCGGTTGTAGACCCAAATAGAGACCAGCAAGTGAAGGGAGGATATGCTGTGTTCAGTTAATACATTTTTAATGAGGTTAAGACGTGCATATCAGTGGGAGATTTCAGGCCCAAAGGCTGTTTGAACCGTAGTTTACAAAACCCTTCTGAAACGATGACTTCTCAATCGGTTCCAAAAATTTTCCGACTGTGCCATCTCTGTTCGAGACAATAACATTGGTAGGGTGGAACGCTTTTGGTCACCACAATATGACGATCAAGAATGACATGAAAAAAGTTCAGATAAACATCTGAAATAAATCTTCCGACGCCCAGTAGTCGAACTACCTAAGGACCACTATAGTTCGTAAACTATAAGCTGATTTAACCTCATGAAATGCGGTCAAATAGGAAACATTTAAAGGCAAATCGTGAAACACTAGCTGACCTATGCTGGATAGGCTCAACGTTATCATCATTATTATCAAACTGGCGTCTGGGTTTATCCCATACAGTAAAATTTGTCAGAAATCCATACCTAGTTGGGGCTTGTGTGCCGTCTTGTTTGCCGTATGATGCTACGAAAAAACGGTAAAATCCCCGGGACAGGAGGAGAAGCAACCCACCCGGTTACGTTTACCATATGAGCCCCAACCAGGACGAGGCATGTGGCGAATTGGTCCCCAGGCTAAAAAGATTTTCAGATAATTTAAATGAGAATAATATGATGGCCTTCCTTGTGCGAGGGGAGGAAAGCCGAGTGGTTGTGACGCAGAATCAAACAGAGTAGGACAAAAGCGTTTATGATCAATAAGCATTCATAACTGGACGGATCTAAATGAAAAGACATGACAGTGTGAGGAAGGAATAGTTTCACACAGCCGGATCAGGCAACAATTTTAACCTCAAACATTTTATATAACGACACCCTCCTAACAAAGCAGCTGAATTAAAAGGGTTTTAGTTAGCCAAACACCGAAGCGAATGCTGCATAGATCCATCCCGAAAAACAGATTGACGATTTAAGACTCCAGAAAAGGGTGTTTAGAGCCTTTTCTCGGACGAACTGATTTTCCGAGATAAGATTAGATTTTAAATTAAGTCGGAACCTACAGTTTCTAACAGTGTATAGCTGAACATCAAAAAGTTGCTAAGCTTCCCATTCTCTCGCCAAGTAGTACGACGCAAGTTTCGATGCTTCGCTCCGCTAATCTTACTTGGCTGTGCCTTAGACGGTGCTCCAAGCTTGGGCGTAACAGTTCACCCGAAATACTACCAGAAAATGTCGATTTATGAAGGCAAATGAAGTAGCAAAACATCCTGCTACAATTCCAAATTGGTGACAGTCTTACGGCATCAATTTTCAAATGTTCTTGATGTTCAGTAAAAATTATTATCGTACTTTTCTATGGAGAAAAATGTTGGTAGCTCAGGTAACGTGCCAGGCAGGCACAACCACTAACCCACGGCTATGCACCACGACACTCCTTAACAACGTACTGATGATGTCACCTCGATTGGTGATGGAACGTTTGCAATCAAAATGCCCAGCTGAGCGAACAAGCCAACGACCATTATCGTACTTAATAAACATCCTGATAGCACGGCATGTCACGAGGGGTGATGCCACAGAAATTGGACATGAAACCCTGGCTTCTGGAAGTTATTTTTCCGTACGTCATGAGCTCTGTGAAATCGAAAAGGTTAAGAAGTATGTGACGTAGCATTATGTGAGACCTTGGTTGTTAACTTATGAAGAGTAGTTGGGTCATAGGCATCACCCAAGTATGTATATGGTTTACTAAAGGTTGACTATTGAGACCCGCACACGCCCACTTTCAACGTCCATACGACGTGCACCTGAACACTGCACTCTGAGTAAAAAGGATAGAGAAAGGAGCGCCTCATTGGAATAACGTTAGTTCGGTCATTTCGCTGACATCTGCCCGCATCCATTCAAGGCCCAACGGACAGGAGGTATATTGAAGACTTAGGCTAAACGCCCATCACGGGAACATGCCATATTGCAAACGGAAACTAGCGTTTATCTGATTTTTTCCAGGATTTCCCCGTCTGGAACCCCTTCCGTACTTTTACCTACGATAGTAGAGAGAATCTACAATTTCAGCAGGGCTTTCGTTCCTCCGTAACGTCAGGCTGGATAGCCGATCTGTGGTGTATAGCTATCTTATATTTAGGGTGATGTAGTCAGCCCACAAAGCTCGGATCTACAAACAATGTAATGAAAGGTTCAAACTGAACCATCTGGTGAACAAAGACTAAAGGTCCAGTTTGAAAACAAAGGTACTCATAACTTTTGGCTCTAATTTGCATGCAACCCAGTAAATTCTCGTGAAATGCTGATAAATTGATGAACACGAGTCTTCGGATATGACTGCTATCTGACAAATGTCCAGTGGCACATTTTTTTCAGCTTGTCTTACATCAGAATTCGCAAGAAATTATGAATTTGTTTCACATACCAAGCGTATTGGTATGAACGAACCCGATTCTTACCCAATTACAGAATTAAACTGATATATCTGGCAATTAATTAATCATATTCTTCGGAAGGCTATAGATTTTGCGACCATTTATTACTAAAAATTGGAATTTTATTAGAATTATTTTATTGATTTCTGCCTCGCTGAAAAATGATAGAAATCATTGATTGTTTTGTATTTAGCTGATTCCTCGTACGGTAAACTCGCAAAATATAAAACTTGATGCGAGTAATCTTTTGAGTACAGACTTTAATATTTCAAGATGAGTTACTGTATTGTATGCTGACATGGAAGGACTGGCATTTAAAGCGATTGGAAAATATTCAGCCAACCACCATCATTATCGATCAGTAATATCACAACATAATCTCACTCAAACTGTCAAATATCTGCTAAACCGAATAAATATCATACGGCAAAATTGTTAGAGTCTACATGTTGTTGTTGATGAGAAATAATAGCAATAACTTTGAATCTTTTTGTCTTTTTGGTTACATCCTATTCACGTCCGATTTGCATTTACAATACCCCCTTTTGTTTCGTCCTCCTCCTGACTCTATTCCAGGTGACGATTTCCGAACACACCCCAGAATCGAGCACTACACCGCTTATCAATCTTTTCCTCACATTGGTGATGTCACTGAGCTCATTTTCAATCATCTGTGCCACGTGTGTGCTCAACGTCATTAGCCGAAGCCACGAAGAACCCTGCCCAGCACCATCATCATTTGTATGGTTTGTCGCAACCCAAGTTTTCGGTCGTATGACATTTATGAGCTACAGTAAGCGTGACGAGCAGCTTTATATAGCCATTCAAAACGACATTCCCGAGAATTCTGCTAACCCACCGTCATTTGAAGACCATACAAACTGTAACAAGGTCAACTCCTTATTCGAAGATGTTTCCACCGCCAGAAGGTTTATGTGGATTCACGTAGCTCGAGTAACAGATCGTGTGCTATTACTCCTCTATCTGATGATGACGTTTCTGCTGCTTTTCATGTTTCTCGTCTATATTCCGGCATCTTCTGCCGCTTCTGTGTTGTGAGCACCATCCTTCGCACATGATTAGTGCGGAATGAAACAACTTAATTTGTGGCATATCATGCCAAATGCTGACTTTCCGACATTCATTCTAATAGTATATTTGACCTAATTTAATCAGAAACTTAGATTTTTGAAGAATATCCCATTTGACACAAACTGATTGTTGTATACTGAAGTGAAACGACGAGCACTATGTAAAAATTATTTATTCTCACTGGCAATCGTTGCCACTCTCCTACCCAGTATTGGATGCTGGTTTTAAACTACAACTGGAGTGTCATAATATTTTCACGTCAAATCACGTGAACTTCTAAATTACTGTATTTGGAATGCATTAAAATTGAATGTCCATTGCAAACAGGATAAAAACAGACTTCCTTAAGACAGTCTGTGAATCAAAACTAACTTGTGAAACACATTTCGGCTTGATAGTCGGCGATAAATACAATTCAGTAATATTCACTAACTTCACCAACTTTTCCAGAATACTGTTGCTGTTGCCAGAAGCAACCAATTTTCTGGCCACTCCGGATGCACAACTGCGGAGAAGTTGCCCCGGATGTCCATTATCGTTACTGGTAGCATTGCCAACAGAGGTATCCAGCAGACTGTCGGCCTCCGACGCATCACCAAAAGACTCCAGAAAAAGTATGACTTTCTATAGAAGAAAATGTTGGTAGCTCAGGTATCATTGATGGTGGTCGTTGGCTTGTTCGCTGAGCTGGGCAATTTGATTGCAATCAAATTTTGATGCAATCAGATTGCACAGCTCAGCGAACAAGCCAACGACCACCAAGTATGACTTTATTGGCGGCTAAGCTTCATGAGCATACACTAAAGCACCTAATCGTTTTCCTTTTGGGAGATCCACCGATTAGAATGCAGACGAGTTGACTTTTAGATGGTGATCACGTTAAACGTCGTTTCTGTCCCTTTGTGGTAGACAAGGTGGTTTTTGCATGGAATGGGTCTGCGCAGGAGGCCCGCTTGGCGGCCCACGCAAACCGCGACCTTTATATGTCGATCCTCACTTGCAGCGGTGATGAAAAAATTTCACGTCGTCAATCATTGAGGCATCAGAAGTAACAAGCATTGTAGCAGAAACAGAAGCGTTAAATATGGGTAAGTATAACTATCGCGGAGGTTGTTCGGCTAGGAAACGGAATTTCGTGAAAGAAAAGATTCGGTTTTATCCTTGTGCAACGAACTTATTTGGATGCATGAAATCTTATTCTTGTGACTTTTGTTTACCTCATCATGAACTGCATATCTTCTAGCATCTTCCGGGTATTTCGTCTGACACATAAGGAAACTGCTCTTTCGCTTTTCGTTTTCCCAAAGATCCAAAGATTTCCGATTTCGTGGGAAGCTAATTTAACGGCGTTCAATATATCTGCTACAAAAATGCTGCAATAAACATGGCTCTATAAACTTCTGCCATGAAGATGAGGCAACAAGATATTTACTTCACAGAACCAGCATTTTCTTCAATCAGATAACGGGCTTTCGACAATAGGTACTGGATAGTTTTATAACTGACTTTACCTACCAACTATATGGTTAGATTCTATGGCCTCCGATATAGTCATCTATGGTAGTATTTTGAAAACCAAAAATGTAACCTACGATTCACCGCCCTGTGACAATTCATCACCTTGCAGCGTTACACGCAGCTGCTACGTTAATCGAGAATTGCCAACAACAAAGATTTTGTAGGACATCACCAACGCAAGACTATAAGTTAGCAATAACGATGACAAAAGTGGGTTGAGTACATTATTTTTTGGCCAACTAAGTAGAAGTTCCCATTTCAAAGGCGTTGTCAGTCAAAACTAAGCCCGTCTTCTAGAAGAGCTGTGATACGCAAGAAAAATTTCCTTTGTTTCAATGTGGTGTGCCTGATTAAGCTTGAGGGCAGTTTTTTTCAGAAAGGTCGAGTCGTGTAACATCAACAAGTGTACATGCACCTTAGCAATTATTAATGCCTCTGCACTTACCAGAAAAAAAAAATTTTGAACCACCTGACATGGCACCGTAAATATCCACACTTAGCTCACACTCAGTCCTACTCAATAACGAGCAGTCTCATTTAGAGCGCGTCCGCGCCCGTGTGCAGAACCTTAAGGTTCTGCAGAATTCTGCACCTTTGACGAGCTTTTAATACCAGAGGAATCCATACATTTAGGAGATATAATGGCTTTCTACTTCGTTTCCTAGTGTCGCGAAAGTAACGTAGACAGCATTTTCGGACCCCTGCATAATGTAGGCAGTTGACCGATTTGTTTTAGTGTGCTACTCAATTATTGTCTGAGATCTTTCGGTTCGGCGTGTCTCCCGTGTTTCAGAGGGGGTGAGTTGTACTTGGATTTATACCTACTGCGGTTACGTGTACAAAATTAGATGGAAGCTGTCTTTCTTTTCAAGTTGTCCTCAATCCCCCAAACTTTGTTCGCATTGCATTAAGAGGTTCGTCCGGAACAAGTGTGTACAAAAAATGCATTAATAAAAAACTTGGTGGACCCCATTCTCGGTGGGTTGACTGTCATTTGTCTTAGCTTAGTTATCATGTGCACAACTTGGAGCAAGCTTACAGTCTGCTGCAGAAGCTGAACATGTGTTTAGACAGCTTAGTTCCCCTAAACAGTCCATAACCAAGCGACGAGCCCCTTTGCCTTGTCATCACAGGACGAACTAGATGGATTTGAGACAATCCTTTAAGATAGATCCAGGTATGCAATTATGGTGAGCATTTCTACGGGGCTCACTCAATGACTTCGGAGAAGTGCTAATGTGGCTCATGTTTGGAGCCACAGGCATATGATTATATGCCGAACGTACACACGCGCATGTTTGCCCGTAGGCTTGCCATAACTCTGAGTTAGCCAAGAGTGGATGTAACTGGAGCCTCCGGTTCATCCAGACTGAAGCAGATTTTCTGTGGATATGTAAGCGTTGTATGATAACCTCCAAATTTGAACGGAGTCTTGGACGAGCCTTCATGACTAGTTTAATTCCATTTCTACATTACACGCCAGAAGGTTTCCAGCAAAAAGCTTACGACAGCTAAACGGAATCTTTAGCTGAACAACCAACGGCGGAAGATTCAAAAACAGCTGCGAAGCTTTGCCAAGACGGGTGGAATAATAGCTGTTCTACAGAAGCGTATGTAATGTATATTCTCATATAGGTGTTCGAACCTCTGACAACTTATTTTCTTTCTGGTAAGCAATACGCCTTTTAAAGGCGCACGGGTAGTTGGGTCAGAACGGCGGGAGCGTGCTGGTTGGGTAATTTGAGTATCATACTAGAAAAAGTAGTAAAATGCTTCCAATTGGTCAAATTTACCGGCAAATAATTTTCGCTAGTCGCGGACCAAGTACAAAACATTGTGCATTTCTGCACGCGGGTGCACAAAACAACGACTAAGTGCGGGCATTACCGCGCTCGAGTGCCGGCTTGTTTTGGAGCTTCTTTCATCACTCCCGCACCGGTATACTCAGTCCCCCGCCATTGCTAGCTCCTAGTGACACTGTACTCATGATTTTTATTCCAAACTGGTGGGTAGCATGCCGATAGGCACGGGTGTCAGTTGCGGAGGACTGGTTACGGCTTGATGCGGGGAAGTCAAAAAATGGCATTATACAGCATAGATATGGTCCTACCAAAATCAGCAAGAACTATTCTTTGCGAACTTTGAGGACACTAAAACATAGTCTTTAGATTTTTTTACAGCTTTTCCGGAACATACTTACCAGGGCAAGGCTGAACGTTGCTGCTTGAAAAAATGTGGACAAGATAAGGTAAGGCAGGGGAAGGCAAACCAAGCGGTCCTGTCGGGCAAGTGATGATGGACTGTAACTTGTGAAAGGCAAAATACTGGAACTTGGAGGCACGAGAGGTACGAAGATTCCGGTGACTTGGCCCGCTGATTTCAACAAAAACTGTGAGTCTTTGTTGAGGCTGGGTCACCTTGAGCGGCCAGGGTAACATAGATCGTGAATGGAAATGAAGAGTAGGAGAAATTGCCAGTATGGACAAATAGTAGCTTGCATTCCAGAGTCATGATGTACACTGATACCTAATAGACCCACTGGTGTGGCTGTTGGGAGTAGCCCCTTAAGGTAAGCTATGATTTACCTGATCGCAGAGGGAATGTGTATTTCTGTGTGCAGCGGGATTCGGGTTAGCCAGGAGGATTAGCGCACGTAGACTCAGGCCGGTTCAGCTGCTAATACATATATACATACATACATATAAAGAGGAGAGCAAGCCGGGTAGAAAACGGCCACATGGGTATTCGGATCATTGCAGCTCTTCCGTTTATGTTCAACTAAGGTGACATTTAAAAATAACCGGTTCATCATTTTGGAGGTCCTATCTTCAACAATCCTCATGCGTTGGCTGTCTCTTATCACACCACCTATCCGCGTACTTATACTGTTTCTTCTATGCCGCTGATGCTCAAATGGCATTATATTGGCAATCGTAGTCAGTCGTGGATTGCTGGGCTATCAGGACCATTCTTGATTGCAAGGATACTAAGCATAGATCCACCCCTATGCAATATAATTTAGCCACTTATTTTAATCGCCCTAACCGTAATAAAACTTGGGTTTTATTTTTCCATTATTAGGTTCCATTCTATCTGATACCTCCCCAAACTCTTCCGGTCATACTGCTCTCGACCCATTCTCTCCTATTCATAGGCTTCAAGCGCTCGAACGGTCGGTATCCACGTCCTATGGACTATGCTTTACATATAAGGGGATCTCTAATGGAACCGAACCACCTATGGTCCCACATCAGCTTCGTTCTACTTCTATGGACCATCTTGATCAACTCAAGACTCCACTGAATTTAGGTAGCTTTGTCGATCAATTCAATCACGACGTTCGTTGCGGGGCTATTCAGAAACGGAATTATGGGCAAGGGCAGCACGGCATTGTTATACCCACCGATTCTGATATTCGAGCTATCATAAACCATAACGCAATTTCCTCCATTTCATCATACCTGCTCACGCTTTTTGTGACCTTGAACACAAACCCAACTGCCCAAATCCACGTAGCCTTAGCAGGGGGCCCGTTAGCCGCACAATGCTCTTGGCTGAAAAGCCTTCACCAGTGGAGTAAAACGTTTTGCGCCGAAGTGTTGCATGTTGTTGCGTATGATGTCAAACCAAAGGACATTCTAATATACATTCATACTTTTGCAGCCAACCGAATTTCATTGTCCACTGAGGCACTCACACTTCTGATAGAAAAGTCTGTTGAAAATTTTCTGAGCACCA